CTGTGATTTGTCTTAAAAATGTACTGTTTTTTTTTTTTTCTTTCATCATTAAAGGGTGATGTTGAGAGGAAGTTATCACAGATGATTCTGGACAAAAAGTTTCACGGTAACTTAACTTTTCCGGTTTAATGTTGCACCGACTCTGCCAGAGCAGCAGCCTTCAGTGGTGTGACATACTTTTCCCAACGCTCCTCCAGGAATCCTCGACCAAGGTGAAGGTGTCTTAATCATATTTGAAGAGCCTCCGGTGGACAAAACGTACGAAGCAGCCTTGGAAACAATCCAGAACATGAGCAAAGTCGTGGACTCGCTTTACAACAAAGCCAAGAAGCTGACATAGGTGAGGAGACGTTGGATAAGAAACCCCAATTCTGTCTGTTTTTAGGTTCTTTGTTTTAAATGTTTTCGTCTCTCTCGTTCTCAGAGCCGACTAGCCCCCCGCCCCCGCTGGCCGTGAGATGGAAGAACTGCGTTGTGTGTGTGTGTGTGCGTGTGTGTGTGTTTTGACCAGCATGTGTAACGTTTTTATTTTTAAAGGGGACAAACGAGGGAGAGAAACAAACAGGATTCCCCCCATCCTTGATTTTCAAACGGACAGTTTCATCACTTGTTTGTTTTTTTTCCTTCCTGATTTTGATAACTCTTCAGGATTCTGTACAACAGTCAACGGCCAAGTCAGGCCATCAGGGAATATTGTATAACTGCATAAAAAAACAAAAAAAAAAACAACAGAGATTAACAATAGGTGTAGGATCACATATATGTTTATATCTGCTGTAAGGCTGGTCCTGCCAAGCCTTCAGCTGACTCCATTGCAACCTCACAGGTGCAACATCGACCTCTGCGGCCTTTTGCTTCGCAACCTGCAGAGCAAGGCCTCCGTTTTATTTCCATTTTATTATTATTTTTTTTTCTCTCCATATCCTTCAGAAGCGAGCTGGCACATTTGTTATTCCTTCAGGATGCCAACAGTTGACCTCCCCTCTCTATTTCAGCTTTATATAATTTGGTTTCTAGTTTTAGTGTTTTTGCTGAAGGAAAAAATCACATCGTTGCCACATATCTGCACCCTCCGCCCCTCCCAGACACGTTTTTAAGTTTTCCGAACAGACAGTACGCCATTTCACCAACAGTGCCACCTTTTTTTGGCGCTTCTGTTTGCCTCAAACGTTTGAGCGCAAAATGAAATCGCAGGGTAGAAGTGGAGTTGTTTCCATCGCCTCCGGAAGTCTGCGGGTTTTCCCAAGTGAACACTTCTCCATCGTTAGTTCTTAGCACTAGCCCAGTCTGCTAGTAACCAAACTATTTGTATGAGTTTGATTTGGTTCTTTCTTTCTTTTTTTTTTTTTCTCTCTCTTATAAAGACATTTTCAAAAATAAATATTTTGTATTTTAACAGTTGTCTTGTCTTTTCCCACAAAATAGACACAAAAGGTTTGATATTACCTACTACCACTAAGATTTTTGACAGTGGCCTTCAGTTGACTTAAAAAAACAACAACTTCTCTTTAAAAATGACCTGGTTACATCTTCAGATTTATGTTGGTAGAAAGTGAAGACGATCATCCAGTGAAGAAAATGTGGGACGATGGTGGCAGCATTACCAAGAATTGGATGTCCATCAAAGTTGATGGGAAGACTGAAAAAACCAGTCATGGATGCTCCCAGGAGGCCTAACGCTGTACTTGATTTGTCTTGGAAGGTGTTAAACACAAAATCTGACCTCGATTAAATATGATGTATCAGAAAGCAATATTAAATGAGCTGCAGGAATTTCTTGCAAGCCCCTACTACATGCGAGAATGTACTGTATTTCCAGGCAATTGTAGGTTGGCTATGTGGAAGGGATTTCTTTAGTATAATATCTAAGCCCAGCTAAATTCAGAAAAGGGAACATTTGATTTGAAGTCACCCAAAAGCAAGTGATAAAATGTGTTTTGGTCTGACAAAACCAAGGTTATGTCAGACCAGACCAGCCGTAATACCAGTAGTTGTATTTGACACAAACACATTCCTATACCCAGTAGCAAAGCTATTCCCCAAAGTATGGCAACATCATGCCTTGGGGATTTTTTCTTTTTTTTTTTTTTTTTTTTTTTTGCTGGAGAGAATTAAGAATTCAGGTTCTCCTACAAATTTAAGATAAAGATTAAGTTAATTTAAGGTTGGCTACAACCCAAAGCATACATCCAAACCAAAAAGCCTTAGGAAAACAGTTCTGGAGTGGCTCGGAAGTTTAAAGTGGGATGAAAACTTCTTCAATTTGTTTACAACTTGATGACAATGTTTGCATTCTAAAACCATGATGGAGCAAAAAAAGGAAAAAGAAATTGGCTAAAAAAAATGGCCTTTTTTGTGCAAAGTACATTCATTTTAGCAGTAGTCATGGTAATCAATATTTAAAAAATATATATCTGCAATTCAAAATAAGATAACCAATGTTCAATAGGGTGTACTTAAACGCCCTCAAACTAACTCAAAATGTCTGCAGTTAAGAAATTGCCACACATAATATGGCGACGACCTTGACGTACGACCCGGACTTTCCGTCTGCTGTAATATACGTACGTAGTGACGTTCGGCCACGTACTCTAATCCCGCCTCCGGTTCGTCACTCATTTCTGTACGTTTTACATTTGTTTCTGTAGTCTTTTTTTTTTTTTTGTCTACGAAACTCTGATGTCCACTTAAATCCAACAAAAATGGCGACACGGGTGAGTTTATTTTGACAGGTTTATTGGAACTCCGACACCAATATACAGCGAAGGAAAAAATACATAAAAGTACACCATACTATTTTAAAACGGGAAGTTTTAAAATGAGCCTGCACAGCATTAGCCAGAGTAGCAGGATCAGTTGTCATTCAGAAGTTCCGGAAGAAGAATCTTATGACCAGTCTGCCGTTAATGGTTGGTTCTGCTATTGGTTTATAGGTTAAAATGACCAAACACCAGAGAGTTGCTTTATCTTCCAATACGATAATATTTCCGAGAAACAATGTACCCGTCTTTGATGTGTAAATGCTGCTGAATAGTGAATGTAGCTCCGGTGTTTACAAGGTAAAATGAAGGAAGTGCCATTGAATTTAATGGCTGCATAAGGGTGCTTCATCTCAATCTGAAAGTTTTAATTTGAAACGTTTTTACGCTTTTCAGTACACATCTTTTATATTTTTTCTCCATATTATTTCGCGAGTAGATTTCAGTCCGACATTCCAACAATTTCAACTTTACACTTGAAAATACAATTTACACCTGCCGAGGAAGTCTTGTTTAAAGTTAAACATAAATTGAGGACCACAGCAAGCATGTGGAAGCACACGCTCCAAGTCAGATGAGACCAGAATTGAACTTTTTGATCCACAAAACTAAAACTGGTGTCGGGAGTTTAGAATCTAACTGCAAAATTTAGATTTTGGGAGTTAACCTAAGTAGGGTTAGGCCACAAAACAATATACTAAGATTGAAGCATCCTTCCAGGCACCCTTAGCATCCTTATATTGAAACATGATGGTGGCAGAAAGATGCTGTGGGGATAGTGAAGCAAGGGAGCTAGTCATTGTTGAATGTAATATGAATGTAGGCAATATTAAGAAAATCTGTGAGCGATTACAAATGAATCAAGACTGGTAAAGAAATATTGTTTGGATAAAGCTTATTTTTGTATTGGAATTGCCTGAATTCTCTTGAGAATCCCTCGTAACACTTGAACAATTTTTGTTCATGCAGTAGACACCATCCACTCCAGAATATGGCATCTTTTTGTGCAGAAAAGGTCGCTCTCCTTGTATTTACTCATGACAAGTTTTGAGCGTAACATTTGGATATGTGGATCTTTGCAAATCTCACTCGTAGACACACGAGAGGAGCTTTACCTTTGACCTCTACCAAACAACATTGAGACGGTCTCACGGGGAGTTTGCTGCTCTCCGTTGACGCAACCGGCATTTCTGTGCTTTTGCTCACAGAAACATTTGTCCTGGATTAATGAACCAAACCATCGCTGATGATTTTCACAGAGCTTGTTATCTTTGCGTGGAACTAAAATTAGTGTGACAACCTAAAACATTTAAAGGTGCAAAAGCAGCATTTAGATTTCTTGGCTAAGTCTTTTAAAAGTGATATTAAATTCTCAGTGGAAATATCAGTAAGTCGTGGTTATTCCTGTCTTTCTTTCAGTGCATGAAGGCAGTGAGGTGCCCTACAGACGACCTCTCCCTGACCAACCGCGTCGTGATCAGTGAAAAGGAGCCGAACTTGGAAGAGTAAGTGAGATGTTTTTTTTTTGTTTTTTTTTTTTCCTGATGCATCACAGCTGGTTAACTTTTTCACCCGGCATAAAATCCATTCAGGGATAAGCAGTATAAACAGTGTTGAATTGTAACTTTATGAAACATGCCAGTGGAGCTGAGTGTGTTGACTTTAGATCTAAATCTTACCAATCAGCTGACGACAGACGGAGGGGGCAGATTGAACGATTACGACGAGTTTTACAATATTTGAAATAATCCTCCCATGTTTGTACAGGCGGCGGGCAATGCCATGTTGCTGCACTTCACACCAAGCTGTTTGCTTTTTTTATCGGTACTTCAGGGGCTGATTCTAAAATAGCTTGATTTGATTTTTACTGGAAGGTTTAAAGGAATAATCCCACATCCGACAGGAATGAGGATAATGCCTTAAATCTCCTTTAGCGTCTCGATTTTAGCCATCAAAAATCGAAAGTCCTTTCGGTAAAGGCATTACACATAAGACTGATGTATTTATTCATTTTGTCTCTATTAATGTCAATTATTGTGGCTTCCGGTTAAAATAAAGTTTCTCGTGATACGATGAGCGGTTGACTTAAAAGTTGCCCAGCAGACAGTGACAATATTTGATTTGATCTTTTTAAACCAAATTACTGAAATAAAAATTCAGTAAAAAAACACTTGCCTTTGTTTTTTTTTAACCGCTGTACCTGATTGTTTTTGTTGTTTGTGTTGTGCCTGCAGACATGTGGTCGTGTCCAATAACAAACAGGAGTTTGTGTTTACCACTAAGAGACATAACGAAGTGAGCGTCGGCTCCATCGCTTTCAGCCTGCCACAGGTACGGCTCACGTGTTTCGCCCCCTCCCCCCGCCCCCCGCCTACATGCTGCCTGACTGCGTCTGGCCTGTACAGTTAACCCTGCAAAGAATGTCCTAAAGTTTGACTTAAAAAAAACAAAAAACAAAACAGTTTTTGAATTTGTTCAAAGGACAAATGTGTGAATTGTCTTGCATGGGCCTCTTTTGTCTCAATCTGTCTGTTCCTGCTTTTTTCCCCCTGTTTTTCTCTGCCCGCTCTTCCTCTGTCTAAAACACTGGCAGCAACAGGACTCAGGTACTACTGCAACCTCCTCGCGACGGTCTTATTTTAACCGCCTCACAATTACCGATTTGGCCAAGTTCACCATGGTGGAAGCTGTTCATAAAAATGCTGTTAAATAAGACCACTTCCAGAGGAATGTTGCACACTGAAAACATGCTGTAGTCATCTTTTTTATTTCTTTTTTTCCTGCTAGAAATAACTGGCAATCCCGTGCATGTTTAATTTATTTTATTTCCATCATGACAAATACATTACCCTTAACTAATTCAAGCACTTTCTCTTTTTCCCTACAGAGAAAATGGGCAGAAATCCCCCTTGGAGATTAGTTCAGAGGTGAGCCTTAAGAATGGAAAAAAAAAAAATCGTTGAGATTTAGTACTTCATTCTTGACCACTAGAGGGCAGTGAAGGATCAAAGCTAAACTGAAATAACGTGTTCATTGAGCCATGTCATAAACATAGCTAAAATTCGTATTCATACTAGGAACAAAGCAATGTTTTTACAACTAATTGAAATGATCTGAATGTTTGTGAAAACCCTTTGAAAAACTCAAGTGAAAGTAGGAAGGATCTTTACAACATAAAAAAAGCATTTATTAGTTATTTGGGATTTAACTGTCGCATCTAAATGGGGCCAAAAGCAAAGAGCCTCATAAATATTTACTTCAATGTTTCTGGACAATTTGCTTCTTGCTTCTGTAGCCGTTCACAAGCTTTGAGTATTATTATCCTGACTGGACATTTGACCAATCCTCAAGTCACTGGTTGGATTTCTGGACTTGGACCCGGTGTGTAATAATAGTTTGTACACTTTTAATCTAGCAGTTTTTTTTTTTTTTTTTTTAAACCAGCTTTATTCATTCAAAAACTACCTTTGACATCTGTTCGGGGTCGTTGTGCGTCTCTATATGTTTGATATTTCATCTCGCTGTCATAAAACTTGACTCCTGGATGAAATTCAGTCGCCGCCGTCTCTCTGGCTGAGGTGTTCCTCGCACGTCTCACCCAGGAGTCCCATCCAAGCTTCTTTGTGTTCGGTGACATTAATTTGTCATGTGTTAATAATTGGCCTCTGGCTGCAGACTTTAAAGACTTCAAACGTCTTACGTGCGTCTGACGTTAAAGGCGGCTTGACTTTAATCTAACAGAAACCCTCCGACTGACGTCTGGTGGGTCACTTAATGCTGATTTCCAAGCATAAGAAGAGGCCGCATAGAGACATGCGGTCTCTATGGCACTTTTACTTAAGTGACATAGAGACCGCATAGAGTATGTGTTAGCCCGCAGGTAGGACGGACCGTATGACAGTGTAACGTGGGTGGTGTCGGTGAACATCTGTCTCAGAGGCTGACCGGCTTCCAGAGACGGGAGAGAGAGCCTCTTCTATTTCGCCGAAACTCTCCGAGGCCAAAGCGATGCTCGGAATGACGCGGACTATTATCAGGCGAAGAATAAAAGGGGGCCGGCCCGCTGGTTCATTCGCCGTCTGGAGGAAAAGAATAGGCTTCACGGTGCTTCCAACGGTTTTGACGTCATCTTAAAAGACTCGAGAAACGCTTTGTAGCCTTTGCAGTTCAGGATCAATATCATAAAAGACGACATAGTTTTATGAAGGATGGGATTTGAATCGGAAGCTCCTGCTTAACTGGGATAACGTTGTGTTTCTCAGCGGCGTAGGTTTGAAACTAAATGTCATCGGCAAACATTTTGGTGGTGAACAGCAGCCACATTTCACTTTGTATCCAGGTTACCACGTTGCAGTTAATTGGAACATCATCAAAAGCGGCAACAAAGCTATTATCACACGATGGCTGCCGTAGCCTAGCAGTTTCTGTGAAGTTAAAGGGATAAAAAGTCCTTTGTTTGAAACCTAGAGGTTTTATCTTCGTTTTTTTTCCCCCCTCCACAGTAACGAACTACAAGTTTGACAAATCCAAAGGGTGCATAAACACCATGACCGTGGAAATTGACTTTCTCCAGAAGAAGTACATCGACAGTAACCCGTACGATACGGACAAGATGGCAAGCGAGTTCCTGCAACGCTTCTTCAACCAGGCATTCTCCGTCGGCCAGCAGGTGTTTCTTTGGGCTTTCCAGGGTTAAATATTAGGCCGACAAAATGTCTGCAGTTCTTTTTTTGTTCTTTTTTTTTTTTTCTTTTACAGAAATAAATGTTTTTCTTCTTGTTTCCCTCGTTAAGCTGGTATTTAGTTATTCTGAAAAGCTCTTCAGTCTGGTGGTGAAAGACATCGACGCCATGGATACCAGCATCCTGAGAGGAGAAAAGACATCCGACGCTTCAGGAAAGAAGGTATCCGCAGACGTTCCTCTCGTCCGGCAGCGTTCGTGACCGTCTCGAGTCAACTGACGCGCTTTATTTCCAAGTTGAAGATGTGGGATTTTTTTTTTTTGTTGCTCAACATTTCCGTGAGATCCGTGCTACTGTGTCCACGCCAGGATTATCGTTTTCTGTTTCTGTTTTCCCTCAGATAAAGGTCGGTCTGTTGCTGGCAAACAGTCAAGTGGTTTTCGAGAAATCGGCAAGCTCGGCTGTTGTTTTGATTGGTGAGTGTTGCGCTGTTGCATGTCACAGCGCCGCGTGTTCCTCCTCCGCAGACGTCTTCGTTTTTAGCTCCTCTGCTTCACTTAAGACAAAGACAGACTGGGCAACTTCATGTTTTCACATGTTAATTTCATTTAATTGGAGAAAAACCATCCAAGCCCTCCTGGCCATGTATGACAGGGTAATAGCTTCCCTGTTCAAAATCATAAATTAACTGTGACTAACAACATTTTCAGGAAAGCTGAGTTAAATTTGGAAAGCCACGCCCTCGTTTGATAACTTACAAACTTTGTGGCTGATTTCTTTATGCAATCAGCCTATTTAATGAGCTTTTGTGATCTTTCTTGTGTTTGTGTCGTCCATAGCCTAACACCGTTTGTATTTAAAATCCACTTTAATTTTATGCGGTATTTTAATTTCACGACACGCTGGGTTTTCATTGGCTGCGTTTTTTTTTTTTTTTTCAATAATCAAAATGAACAGAAAGAAACACCTGAAATATTTCACAGAATATTGAATGCACAGCATATTGGTTTTACTTTTTTTTTTTCTTTTTAATTAATCATTGAAATAAATAAACTTTTGAATTGTATTCTAACTTGCACATATAAATGCTAAGATAACCCAGGAAAATAATTTTTATTTTATTCCATCTAAAGTAACTCGCATTCAGGCCACCAGGGGGTGCACAACACCCACATAGCTAGGTTTGCCTTCACATTTGTTTGGCAACGTAGCAATAAACAGAAGCACCTCACACACCGTTTGCATTTATTAGTAATTAAACAGCTTGGACATAATAAAGTTTACAAACTCGCAGGAAAATGAAGAGCTGTTCAGAGCTGCTGCTTCTTCTTCTGCTTTTGTAGTTCTGACTTTCTGTATCCATTGGGCATATGTTGTTAGAAAAGAGAAAAAAAAAATGTTGCATGTTCAGGTTGGTTGGAAATGCTCTGCGATTGTCGTGTTTCAGCTTGCCGCTCGTACATTTAGTGTCTTGTGCTCACTTCACCCCCGAAGGAAAATCTAAAATCCGAGATGCTCGGCAGTCCATCATCAGCCCTGACTGGAACTTTGAGAAGATGGGGATTGGAGGCCTTGACAAGGAGTTCTCTGACATCTTTCGCAGAGCCTTCGCCTCACGAGTCTTCCCTCCAGACATCGTTGAGCAGATGGGTAAGTGCCCCTCCTCGCCGCCCCCCTTTCGCATTTTTTTTTTTTTTTTTGTCGGTTCCTCCTTCTCTTATTCATCTGTTCCTGCTTGTGTGCTCCTTGTGCTGAAAACAAGATTATTTTTCCGTGTCACTGGAACATTCTCTCAAATTCTCCTCGTCACGCGAGTTCTACCTCAGCCCTCTACAAATGTATTCCTTAATGGTAATTTGGGGCTTTTAATTGTTTATTTAACCTTTTTCCTTTTTCCTGGTTGGAATAATTCAATAATATACAACTGTAATGAATTTAAGAACAAGAATTAGGTTTGCACGTTTGAATTTGCGTGAATTAATTTAGGGCCAAAACTGGCATTAAAGCAGCCACACAACACAATGCTACGCCACAACGCTTGGCGGTTGTGGCTGCTCCATGTGGGAGTTTCTGCAAATTCCAGTCAAATATAACTGTGTTCATTTTGGACCCGGTTCTTGGTTGGCAGAAACTCCAGTCCATTAGTCATGTTAAACTGAAGCTGAATCTCACAGCATGATGCCACCTCCACCGTGCTTAACTGAGGTAGCGTTCTCAAGGTTCTTAGTTTAATGTCTTTTGAAGGACCGGTTTGAAATGTTCCGAGAAAATACAAGATGCGTTTATTTTCAAGATTATTATTCAACTTGGACGAGTGCAAAGATTTTTAGGAGGTGCTATACGTTTTCGGTTGTTATATGAATCTTGAACCGGCAATCAGCGTTAATCAAACAGCCGAGCCTGTGTCCTGTTCTGGGCAGCGCAGACCGATGACTAAACAGCCCTGACAGAGACCTCTGCACACACTCGTTAATAAGTCTCTGACAGCTGTCAGGTTACATGACGATTCACTCTAAAGGACAGCAGCTCGCTCTAATGAAAGCCGTGAGTTGGGCCCGTTTGTGACTCAGACCCCCAGACCTCGCTTCCCACATCTGCGCTTGATCTGCGGAGCCTCATTTTTACACCCAGAAGTCTTATGAAAACCTGTGGTTTGCACCCATCAGTTTTAGAAATGCGCTCCGTGCTGAAAGGGTGCAGCCAGACAGACCTGTACCCACCGTGGTGGCAGGCTGACCTTTAGCTGGGTGGCTGTGTGCAGGAGCTGCCCTTTGACTGCCGGCAGCTGGCTGTCGTAATGAGATGGCGTGCCCTGATAGAGCTTGCCGCTAAGGGTAAACTTTTAATTGGCAGGCATGTGGAGCATGGGGGCGGGGGGCGGCGCAGGTGCTGACAAGGAGGCGTTCCTGCTAAAAGTCTGAAAGTTTCACCTTGTCTCCCCTTTGCTCCCGGAGAGGCGAGGCAGACGGACAGGAACTTCAGAGCTTTGTCTCCGAAAAGCCGCAGAGACAAGCACGCCGCTTTTCCCCGCCGCGCTCTGCCCCCCGTCCCACCTGTCGGCCCGGCTGCTTTTCCCTCAGCACACTCAAATGGCATCTCAGATGGTTATCTCTGGCTGCTCAATTAGTCTGGGCTAAATGTCATTAGGCAGGTGCAAAGGGCCATGAAAAGAGCGAGACTTTGAGTAAAATCCAGTGGAGAGTTCGTCGCATCCAGACACGCTTGACCTTTAGGGGGGAAAGAACCCCCGTAAATATATAAAAATGAAGTTATTGATCAGAAGTTTGTTTTTTTTAAACTCTTAAATTGAATTTTTTAAAATTATTTCTTGGGAGCGATGAAGGTAAACTTCATTTTCTCTCAACAATGTGGCTTATTTTCTTGCCAGACTTTAATAAGAGCCAAATTTTTAGAGCTCACAATTAATAAATCTCTTCTGCTTGATCTCTTGTCTGATCAGTGTTGGACTCAGCTGAGATTCAGTTATTCTAATTAAGACAATTGAATATGAGAAAGAGGGACTGAGTACAAATGCATGCCACACTTTTTAGACTTTGTTTTAAAAAATGGAAATAATTCACTTATTTACGCGCTACTTCATGTCGGCTGATTTCATAAGCCACAAAATGCATTTTGTGTGTCTTTTTATCCTTTTTGTATTCTGTGTTTCATCCCTTATGCGGGGCTTTTATATATATATTTTTATAATGTGCAAGTTCTGTAAAAGCAAGTCGTCTGTGTTGAAGTGAACCCTTCTTCTCGCCGTGCGCGCGTCTCTGCCTCCAGGCTGCAAGCACGTGAAGGGAATCCTGCTGTTCGGCCCCCCGGGCTGCGGCAAAACCCTCATGGCCCGTCAGATCGGCAAGATGCTGAACGCCCGGGAGCCGAAGATCGTCAACGGCCCAGAGATCCTCAACAAGTACGTCGGAGAGTCTGAGGCTAACATCAGGAAGCTGTTTGCAGATGCAGAAGACGAGCAGAAGAGGGTGAGAGGACAAAACGCTGTTCCCTTTTTTTTTTTTTTTTTTTTTTTTTTTTTCCACAAAAACCATTTTTTTGGGGGGGGTTTTTTCCGAAAAAAAAAAAAAAAAAAAAAAAAAAAAAGCTATCCGGTGTTGCAGAAGGGTCTTGCCTTGTTTTATTAGCCATTTATTTTGTTGTTAATGTCAAAACTTTCCCGAACCCTTCATCGAGACATCAGAAGTCTCAGACCTCTCTAAAATAAAAATAATAAAAAAAAAATAAATAAAAAAAAAAAAGCAATAACTAATATCGTCACGAGTGGAGAGATCTGCCCTTTAGCCAGATGTAGCTGTGAAGTTCTGCTCACAGGCCCAGCAGCGACGGCTGGTCTGATCAGTGACACGAGCGTCACTCTGCACCACTTAATGATGGCGCTGGGTTCTCCTTGACCCCTCCGTACGCAAACACACACTCACACACGCACACACAGGATCCAGTGTGCAACATGCGCAGCCCCACACCTGCCTTAAATGCTGCGTCAGGGTTGACGGGCCCGTCGGTGGAGGGATGACCCCCCCACCCTGCCGCTCGCTCATTTATTCCATCTGTTTGTCTGTGGACGGCCAGGACTCGGCTCAAATTAGATAAATGTGGAGACGTGTAAAAGCGGTGCTTTGCGCGAGCATTCGATCTGTTTTTTTTTTTTTTTTTCCATTTCGTCACATTACAACCACACATTTTTTGTAGTGTGATGGGTCACAGTTGTAAAGTGGAAAGACAATGACCAAACACGCCAGCCCGACATTAAAACACAGCAGTGCTGGCATCATGCTGTGGGCATTCGGTTTCTTCAGCACTGTCTGAGTTGATGGGAACGGTAAAGCGGAGCTTAAACAGTGTTTATTGAGACTTTCAACATTTGTTTTTACATCATGTTTCAAAGAAAACCATCTGTGGTATTTATTGGTAGATCAGAACAAACTAGTGCTTTATATTACTAAGTGGAAGGAAAACTATCAGTTTTGTTTTTAAAACCCTTACAGTTAAGAATCTAAAATGCAAGATGTACATTTCTGTTCAGGCCTACGTCTTTCTAAAACGCATCGGGCTCAGTCAGATCGGGTGGAAAACGTCTGTGGATATCAGTTTCAAGTCCCGCTAAACGTTCTCAGTTGGATGCAGGTCTGTGATTAAGACATAATAAAAAAAAAAGCCCTAATCTAAAACCATTCCTTTTGTAGCTGTTGGTGTTTAATTCTGCTAAAGGATGAACCTCCGCCCCAGTATCAAGTCTTTTCCAACCATCACCAGGTTTCCCTCCAGGAACGCCCTTTATTCAGCTCCATAAACCTTCCTGTCATCTCTGAGCTGTTTCCGTTTCTCTAGAGAAGAAGAACATCCCAAGTGTCGTGATACTGCCACCACCAGATGGTGCGTTGTTGACTAATTTTCTCCTCCAAGTCCGTCCCACAACAGGCGGACGTACACTGACAAAGGTGGACTCTGCTTATTCATTAAGAAACATTCAAAAGCAGTTGATTGTTCTGGATTTCATGTGCAATTTTTCTATCCCCAAGCATTAAAAAAAAAAAAAACTAAACACAGGCAATAGGGAACCAGACAGTTTTGTAAGCTTGATCAGTCTGACAAAGTGTGTTTGGCGTTAAGAGGCAAAGAGGGACCTCCGTGCTTGTAGGTGCAGATGTTTTAAGATAACAGCAGGCGGCTTATTTACGGTCTGCGCGTTAATCTTCCTCCTCTCCCGCCTGGCTCCGCAGCTCGGAGCCAACAGCAGCCTCCACATCATCATCTTCGACGAGATCGACGCCATCTGCAAGCAGCGCGGCAGCATGGCGGGCAGCACCGGCGTCCACGACACCGTGGTCAACCAGCTGCTGTCCAAGATAGACGGAGTGGAGCAGCTCAACAACATCTTGGTCATCGGTGAGAAGCTGTGTTCTAGCAGAGCACCTGCGCTCCATCTCCTGTGTGTGTCATTCATCCTCGTCCTGTGCTTCCCTTTCCCCCCCTCCATCCCGTCCCGCTATCTCTCCCGTCTCCCTCAGGTATGACCAACAGGCCCGACCTGATAGATGAGGCCCTGCTGAGGCCGGGAAGGCTGGAGGTGAAGATGGAGATCGGTAAGAAGTGAAGAACACACACAGACGAGGCTCCGCTGCACTGTTTATTCCGAGCAGCGTCTCTCGCAGACGACCACAATGTGGATTTATAATGTATTAATGATAACGGCAATAAAAAAAAATAAAATAAAAAAAACTATTAATTGGTCCAACATTCCTGTCTAAAGTAAAGTAAGCAGTCAGGTGGGCGGTCTCTTGCTTCAGATACATTTAAGAATGTTTTCTTAAATTTTATGTTAAATAAACACTTTTTTTTTTCACCTGTTATTGTTACAGACACGCTTTATAGGTTATTTATTGAATCCAGACATTAACAAATGAAGCCCAGACTAAAACAAAGCGGTGAAATCCCTCAGCTGTTGGTGGCCGGAACGTCATGCAGAAAGCCCATTTTTTTCCTCACTTCTTTGTCCTTATTAGTCAAAGCTTCTCCTTGCAAACTATATGAACATTACTCAAATATCCTAAATTATAATTAGACACAGTTTCAACAGATATCATACTTACTCCAAAGGGAGAGATTATGTCTAGAGTGATAAATTAGAATAAGTATCCAATAAGGGTGAAACTGTTCAGAATGATGGTAGGAAACGTAGTTCTGCTCACATTATTGCCACAGTACAAGATTACTTTCATAGTGCATAATAATTGGGTTGTTTTGGAATAACTTTTCAACTTAACTATTCGCTCAGTAAAATCATTCTCCATCTGTTTCTTTCTCCAGGGTTGCCAGACGAAAAAGGTCGCATTCAGATCCTAAACATCCACACAGCAAAGATGCGTCAGTACAACTTGCTGGCCACCGATGTGGACATTAAGGAGCTCGCCGTGGAAACTAAAAACTACAGCGGTGCCGAGTTGGAGGGACTGGTCCGGGCCGCGCAGTCCACCGCCATGAACAGACACATCAAGGTCAGATTGTCCTTATTTTAGGGCTTATTCGTTATGTGCATTGTAAAAACTGAAAGAGGAATACTGTACGACTTACAAGAAATAAAGACCGTACGCATCCAGGTGCGACGGGCTGTTTATTATGTTCGGACCCCCGAGACTTAAGCTATTTATCAGGTGCACTGGCTCAAATCTACACAGCTCACTGCTGTACACAGATGAGGAAAAGTTCTCATCTGTTAAGTGTTCTGCCCCCACGGGCGCAGACACTCGGAGAGCAGCAGATATTAGAGGGTGATGATAAGCGACGGACAAGGGGTGTACACATCTCTGATGGTTCTGACGCTTTTCTTCACTCCTCTAAGCAATTATTCTTCCCTCCCTTTCCTTTCCCTGTCTGACCTTTTTGCTACAGGGGGGAACGCCGTCTCGTGGCACGTTGAGCAATCTAAATGTGCCGTATTTCACGTAAAAGCGGTATTTACCAGGAGGACATTGAATTGTATCAGTTAGGAATGTACTTATTATTTGTTTATTTTATTTTTATTTTTTATTTTTTTTGCGCTGTTGCAGGCCAGCAGCACAGTGGAGGTCGACATTCAGACTGCGGAGAAGCTGCAGGTCAGCAGACTGGATTTCATGGCCTCACTGAATAACGATATCAAACCGGTAAGTTTGTGTGTGCGTCTCTGTTCGTTTCTGTCCTGATTGAGTCAAATAGGGACAGGAAGTCACCAATCAAATCAATCAATCAAATTTTATTTTTAAAGCACATTTCAGCAGCAAGGCATTTCAAGGTGCTTTACATAATTAAAGAAGAAATAAAAACAGTATGTGACATTAATAAATAGATGAAAAGTAAAGATAAAAACATCGAAGACATCAAACCCCGCCCTCTATCCCTAATTTAGCCATACGCAACTCTAAACAAGTGGGTCTGAAGTTGAGATTTAAAGGCACCCAGTGTTTCAGCTGCTTTACAGTTTTCTGGAAGTTTGTTCCAAATCTGTGGTGCATAGAAATTGAATGCTGCTTCTCCTCGTTTGGTTCTGGTTCTGGGTATGCAAAGCAGACCAGAACCAGAAGATCTGAGGGGTCTAGACGGTTGGTACAGCAATAACAGACCTTTAAGGTATTGCGGTGCTAAACCGTTCAGTGATTTATAAACTAATAACAGTTAAAGTCTATTCTTTGAGCTACAGGGAGCCAGTGTAGGGACTTTAAAACTGGTGTTATGTGCTCTATCTTCCTGGTTTTAGTGAGAACACGAGCAGCAGCATCTGGATCAGCTGCAGCTGTTTGATTGATTTATTAGTCAGACCTGTGAAGACGCTGTTGCAGTAATCAATGCAGCTAATCAAACTGGTTTCCATCGTGTGTAGTCATTCCCTTTTCTACCTTACCAACAGTAGGAGACCGTGAAGCTCTTTATTTTGGCTCTGCAGAAAATCCTGTGCTATATTGTAGTAAAATTATTACTATACATTGGTTGTCAGAGTGAACACATACTTTTTTTATATACATATTCTAGTTTTCTCTATACGTATATATGCTCCTTTTTAATTATGTATAAATATCACTATTAGTACTTCTCTCTATTGTAATGTACATAATATTTTTGGGTATCTGGCCAGGACAGCTATGTAGCAGCTAGCTGACTAGTAGATATCTGTCTGGAAGTTTGTTTAGCAAGCTACTTGTTGAGCTAGTATCCTATTTGCCTATTGCTTTGGATTGCTAACTATTTGCCTGTTGAAATGAATAGGTATCTGGTCAGTTTCCCAGCTCTCTGCAGAATAGACGTCCTAGTAACCATGTTACTATGCTAGCCAAGCTATATCCTAGTTAGCTATTTGTGTCATGAGATACTTCAGCTGGTATATAATTGTCTGACTAGCTACCTTTTCAGCTAATTAACTATTTGGTTGTTTGTCTAGCTAGCTATCTGTCAAGCTAATAAGTTGCTTGTCAATCTATATGTTTAGATAGCTAATCATTATCAAGGTAATGACTAGCCTAGCTTTTCAACTGTCTGTACAGCAACTTTAGCTATACTAGACATTCATTTATTTTTCCTAACTAGGTAAATGGATAGCTATTTCACAGGCTATCTGGTTAGCAGAGGATTGTGGAAAGTAGTTAACTTTTCTTGAGTAACCTTTTGAAAATAATTTACTTTTAGCAGTTGTTTTTTACTACACTGTACTTTTACTGGAGTAATATTAGTATGAAGTATTGCAACTCCTACTTGTGTAAAAGTTTAAATGTGTTAGTTGCACCAACAACATTTAACGATTTTTTTCGTTATGTATAATAACATGGTACAATCATTTTTTTCTGTCTATTTCCAGGCGTATGGAACCAACCAGGAGGACTACGCCAGTTACATCATGAACGATATAATCCGGTGGGGTAATCCAGTTTCAGCCGCCCTGGAGGATGGAGAGCTGCTGGTGCAGCAGACGAAGAACAGTGATCGCACACCGCTGGTCTCTGTGCTCCTGGAAGGTACACCAATGTTAACGTGTTCAAACCCACAGGAAGGAAAGCATTATTTTTCCCCAACTAAACTTTTCATGTTTCCCTCTCAGGCCCACCTAACAGCGGGAAAACAGCTCTGGCAGTTAAGATTGCTGAAGACTCCCAATTCCCTTTTATCAAGATCTGTTCGCCCGACAAGATGATCGGACACTCCGAGATCGCCAAGTGTCAAGCAATTAAGAAGGTACGCTTTATTTTCAGCTACTGAAAAGTTTAAATACATATGACTCACAGGAGATATTAGAATTAAAAACCGTTAGTTTTTTTGTGCCTAATTTAAAAAAAACCCTAAAAAAACACACATTTTAAAGGTACTTGTTGAAATGCAGTGAAATGGGTGAAAGTTTAGATCCAAGTTTTTCTGTTAACTACTGATATAATATGGACCTGACAACCTTGAATTGGGGAAAAGTGTTTTTTTTTTTCTTTACTGAACAATTAAAGGACTTTAAATCTAGACTAAATTCATCCAAAGTTATTTTTTCAGTTTCATTTTAGATTGAATGCTTAACTGGTTTCTGTTTTTTAATAGATATTTGAAGATGCTTACAAATCACAGCTGAGCTGTGTGGTAGTTGATGACATTGAGCGCTTGTTGGGTAAGAACCTTATTTCATAGAAATAAGTGTAGATATATGTTATCCTGTCGATCGTACTTGGGTTAAAATGTATTATTATTATTATTTATTTTTTTTTTTTCAGATTATGTACCGATTGGTCCTCGTTTCTCCAACTTGGTGCTACAAGCGCTGCTGGTTCTCCTCAAGAAACCGCCTCCAAAGGTACCAGCAGTTTCAGTTGTGTTATTCATCTCCTCCTCATGCTGTTAGTCCTTAGGCAGCAGAAAGAGGGCAGCAGATCTTATGGACGCCTACACAAGGTCTCATGAGGAATTGATGGAGGTCCTTGGCTGCGGCTGGCATGTGTGAGCAACTGTGTGAGGTTATTAGCAAATGTTTTGCTCCGGGTCCGTTGTGCTCAGAGTGAATGGTGGCGATACAGACCAATTTCTCAGAGCTTCTTTGGTTGTAGTTTGTTGTTGTGTTTGTAAATGAGGGTACAACCCACTATATGGCTGCTTGAGAAGTGGCGCGGGGCCGGGCGCTGAATGCCTGGGTGCAGAGCTCCTCCGGGGTTGTAAAGCGCTGAACCCAGCGGGGCGCCTGGGGCCGGGGGAGACCAGGGGGACACGGAGGAGAATGGGCTCTGTGAGAGATCCAGGACCTGGCAGAGCTGCCGCCTGTGTGGCACCTCATCTGCATGCAGCATCACAACCCCCCACGCCATGGGGGGGAGCGGGCAGCTATAATCCCCCTGTCTGCTCACCACTCCTCTGCTTCTCCTTCCTCCGTTGTCTGCTCCTGGTTGTCCTCCAGCTCGTCGGCTTAGCGGAGCTGCAGTTCTTCTCTTTTGTCTTCTTTCGCCCATGTTTGTCCTCTGTGCTGTTGTTTTCTACTCTGTTACGTTCTATGCTGCCATTAGTTTCTGCTCCGTGTGCTCTTGTTGCGACTGAGACCCCGCTAAATGCCGTGCTTCAGCGGGGCCGACTGCAAATCGCACAGGCGATTTAATATTATTTTAAAATCTGCAGAAAAACCTAAAATGAAATGAAGCAGAAAACAGCTCGTAAGAAGTTTCCTTGGCCTTATGTTTAAATGAGCAGCACAAAATAGTCTAAAATGATGTTTGATGCATCTGTTTACCTTTTATTTTTCTCAGATTTTTGTAAATGATTGGGCAATTTTAGTTTTTTATGTATGTTTTATTTCCTCTAATCTGTTTATTTTATTTTTAAAGTCTACATCCAGACTTCCTCAGTAATGAGGAAAAACAGACGTCTGTTATCTGGTTAATACATGCTAATATTTGATTTTATGTGACGGTGCAATTGAGCATCATTTTATTGATTGTTTTCTTTACAACGTGCAAAAAAGGTGCAAGATATAAGTAAAGGCTCATCTGCTTGTAGTGCAGATTGAACGTGCGGGGTTTTGGTTTTTGTAACGGGATTCAAGACTTTTCAATTTCAACAGAAAATCCACAAAACCTACATCCATATCTACAACATGTGCTCCTCCGTTTTCCCCTTTCTTTCTGCACGTGAGCATTCTGGTTTAAAATCAAGCTTGAATCTCTGGAGAGAAAAATCAGGGAGTAAATTGGTGATAAAAAAAACAACGAATGAAGCACGTGTCTCCTCCCTTGCAGGGACGTAAGCTGCTGATCATCGGCACTACGAGTCGCAGAGACGTTCTCCAGGAAATGGAGATGCTGGACGCTTTCAGCACTGCCATCCACATTCCCAACATTTCCAAGGCAGAGGAGCTCGTGCAGGCCCTGGAGGTAAAACACGCCCGACTCAAACCCCAGCCGAATGCAGAATAAATTAAGCGGGACGATTAATTAAATGTTCCTGATGTTGTGCATTCTCTCTCCGTTTCTCGTTGGTATTCGGAAACGACTCAGTCTAATTTTCAGGGAGAGAAGCTCAATCGCAAATATACGAGAGGCAAAATTAAACAGATTTTGCATCAGCGAGTGAAAGAAGTGCTTAATCCACAAGAAAAACAGGATGTAAAACTAATAGCATTTCTGCTGATTATCCAGAATCTTGGACATGTTGTCAGGGTCAAATACTTATTTCATTCAGTGAAATGGAAAAATATATAACTCCTGTGTTATGCCTTTATTTTCCTGTACATCTTAAAATAAACCCAGCATAAAAATCAGTAATATAAATTGCTAAATTGGTATAATATATACATAAAAAAAAGAATGTAATTGAAAAGTTAATGTATTCTTATTTCACCAAGTGAGACAGATTATGTAGATTAATTACACACTGCCTGATGTCTTCAAGTCCTCGCATCTGGTAATTATAATGGAACTGTACCATAATTAATGCATCTTCTTCTTTATTGAATTTGAATGAATTTGAAAATAATTTTCATAATTCAATTTAAAAAGCCAAGGTGTCTCGACAGGCTGAGGCTCAGAAGCCACATTTAAGCTTTCGAGAGTGCCGCTTTGACAGAATTTTTAAATATAAATGAATAAAAGTATTTATTAAAAAAAATGACTCATTTTAGCTGGTTTTCAATGTGTATTTTTTATGCAACAGATGTCACAACAAATTGTCAAAAATGAAGGAAAATGTTGGGGTTTCCCCCTCCCCCCATTACTTTTCCATCAACTTGAAATTCAGCAAAATGCATAAAAAAATTGTATTTGTATTTTTTTTAATAATACCCCAAAATACAAATTTTGGTCCTTCAATTTAATCATAAAGCCCACTCGTTTTCTAAAGTGTGTTTTTATTAAGTAGAAAAAGACACGTCATGTAAATAAGTGCAGATTTGGGCACGTAAGATGATCTTATTGAGCAGAAGCGAGGATAAAACTGCCTCTTTGGACTGTAAAAGCTGCTGAGCCACGATGTAGGAAATAACATGGACATGATATTTCTGGTTTTTAAGATTATTTTTTGTTGCTTTTAACTGATCTAATTCTATGACAAATTGAGAGGTGCCTCAACAATATGTACTTGTTGCTGTATGTTCTGTGTCACATCTGAACTGCTCTCAGACTTCATGTGGTTATGTTCAACTCGTATCTCGTCTCTCTGCTCCCCTCAGCTGCTGGGGTCTTTCGAGGAGAAAGAACGACTCGGCATAGCTAACGCAGTGAAGGGCAAAAGCTTGTGGATCGGCATAAAGAAGCTGCTCATGCTGATTGAAATGGCCGCACAGGTATGGATTGACAATATTGGTTATGATTCGACATAACACTTGACTGTTGAACTGGAATAACTTCATAGAGCTCCTTAAGGATTGTTGTAGTCTTTGAAAGCAGGCTGGCTCAGAAGCTCTCCAGGATTTCTGAAGGTGCTTCAAAGTTTTTTGTTTTTTTTTCGTTATTATTATTAAGCTGGATCTCCAGCAGATGAGCAGAATCTGATTATTCTGACTTTAACAGAAAAGAAATCCCTTAAAGACCTGACAAGGACCTTACCCGAGGGAAAGTAGAGGCCCTGGATTATTCCGAAACACCAATGGAAATCCGCATTTTATATTATTTGTATAAACGTGTTTCAGTTGCATTTTCAATAATTAATTGTTTGAAAAGAAGTGGGAAAAAAATATCGACTTTGAGAAATGAATCTTTTCCATATGAGGTCACGTTACTGTGAAACCAAATCAATTTATTTTTAAGGCTTTTTGCACATTTGCACCAGGGATGCCAATAAGTGTGGAGAGTGCTGTATATCACTGCTTTTATAGCTTTGTGTTGGCTCCAACAATGACTGATCCTTCCTCATTTTGCTCTAAAGCAAAGATTTAATTCACAACGTCTGTAAAACAGTTCCTTTTCGTGGAAGCCCTCACATTCAGAACACGGTTTCGTAACCGCGAGCCGAACCGCGTCCCAGCAGCTGGGAGAGAACTGCTCGTGAACTGGAGCCGCACTGGAGCGCTCCGCTCGACAAATCATTGGCGAAGCCACGGCGTTTTCATTCCAGCTCGCGGATGACAGGTTTTTGTCCCCCGACTGACAACAAACAGGCCGTCGAGAGCCGAGAGTGTTGGCCAGATGTGGAGGAACACGGAGGGATGGGGGTGATTCAGCTCAGACCACACTGCCAGTTTCAAATTTGTGCTCTGAATATAAAATCCGACATGACTGATTGATTGGAGAGGCTATCTTGCGTCTTCCAGCGCTTCAGTTTTAACCCCTCGGATGTATCGACTCGCCCAACTTCAACTCTGCACCCAGTGTGTTAGTAAAGTTGAACAAACTTGATAATTCGCTTGTCAGAAGTTTTTCCATATAGGAATTTGCACTGATATCAGATGTTATCAAAATCTGGTTTCCAGTCCTCCATTTTATTAGTTTTCCTTTGATAGACACAATAAGATTTGATATAGTTTTACTTTATTTTTTAAATGAGATAAAGGACAAACCCTAAAACAATTTTTTTTTTGTTTTGATATAGTTTTTTTTTTTTTTTTTTTTTTCAAATTTAGTCTCATTACCACCAAAACAACATTTATTTATTTTGTTGGTATTTTGTGTGATGGATCGACTCAACGTAGTCTATCATTGTGAAGTGCGCAATTTATTCTCTAAGAGGACAATATTTACTCAGGAAGAGCTGCATGTATTCACATTTCAGATGGAAGAAAAACATCTAGACATTGAAACCACAAAGCTGGTCTCTATGGAAGTCCATAGCAAACATGTCGTAGAAAGTGGCCAAACTTTCTGCCCTCCATGCAAAATGCTGAGGAAGCCTCTCATATTTGATGGCTGGATAAATGGAGCTAAATGCAGGACGATCCTGCAAGAAAGTCTGCGAGATGCTGCAACTGACTTGAGACTGGGCCAGAAGTTCACTCGGAACAGGACAACAGCCCTAAAAACACCGACGGAGATACAATAGGATGGTTTAGATGAAAGAATATTAATGTGCTAAGAATGGCCTTGTCAAAGTCCCCAGCTAAATCAAACGAATAGGAGAACAGGATTGTAGAAAGTACCGACTCAGGAATACACATGCATGTTCAAATTTCTATTTGTTAACCGATTTTTAAACGTACGCATCGTTTTCCTTCCGCTTTACAACCTTTACAACAAGGCACCGCTTCGCATCGGTCCAGATGAAACAAATTAAAAGTTTGTGGTTGTGACGTGACTCAACGTCAGAGGTTTAACTGATCTAAATCCCCTTTGCGAGGCTCCGCGCCTTATATTTCGTCGCTCGTGTAGCCCGACGGAACATCTCCTGCAGCATCGCCTCCTAACTTTTGTGTCTGTTCGCCGAGCCTGGATGCGGTGTGTAATTGCTGTGGTATGCGCGGCTGCAGCCATGTTTTACACCCTCCCTGTTCTGCGCCTGAAGAAATATGAACCTGCGTTCGCCGAGACATGCTGCGAACAGGCGTGCGGCGTCACTCGTCTTGGCGTTCCCGGTTCCCCTCTCGTTGCTCCCGTGCTTCACGGAGGTTGAATCCGCTTCTTCTCTCCCATATTTTATTTTATTTTATTTATTTATTTATTATTTTGCACAGTTTGATGTAAAACGAGGTGCTCCAGTTTTAGCAAAAGTGACACGTAGTTTCTAAGACGTTTCTCTCTTGCAGATGGACCCCGACTACAGAGTCAGTAAGTTCCTGAGTCTACTGAGGGATGAAGGAGGGTAAGTATCCTCTTCCTGTTTCTGTGACACTGAACACTCTCGCCACACTCGCACACATTCGTCACTGTTGACCGAGACGGGGAAGAGCCAGATGTATACATTTCGATCGGTGTATGAAGTGAGATTAATAATACACATGTTCTCTCTGTTTTTTTTTTTTTGTTTTTTTCCTGCAGTCTCGATTCTAAGCTGGGCAGAATCTAGACGCAGTGAAAGAACATAGCGAGGAGGAGTCATCCTTCATCGGTAAGACTGCAGAGCCTGGATTAAAGGGAGATTACACGGAGCTGAGCACATGTAGCGGCCAACCAGATTAACAACCACCATCGGCTTCATTAACACTCCTCGTGCAAATGAAAATGGAAACTGCAGGGCGGTACGGTTCAGTGCAGGGGGGGGGGAGGGGAGTTTAATATCAACCCTGATTCGTGAGATATTTCTGCCCCCCACCCTCTCTCCATATTTCTTCTCTTCTGAAATGTGTCAGATCATCAAACATCTTTTAGACAAAGACAACCTGAGTAAATAAAAAAACAAGATTTTCATTTATTAAAGGAAAAGTGCCAGCCAAACCAACCTGAAATGTAGGAAAGTAAATGTCCATTAAACCTAGCAGCAGGTGCCGTCAAGCATTTCTCATAGCTAATGAGTGTGTCGCGTCCTCGTTGAGAAGTTTGAACCAGCTTTTCTTCTCAGAGTTGTTTTAATTCAGTCACATTGAAGCGTTCTTGGGCATTACCAGCCTTATTGAAGGCTGGACTTTGACTAGGTCACTCTAAAACCTTTGTGTCTTCTATTTATTGATTCATTTTAATCACTTAACAGCTCATTTTTAAACCTGCCGTGAACTCGAGGCCGGATAGCAAGGCATCCTGAAGAAGTAAAGCTACGACCCTGTTTGAATTTCAAATCAGCACAACATCCTTCTCTGAAATGATGCCAATTTTGTCAGATGTGACAGTGACACCTTTTAGAAAGTTCCACCTTTTTCTCATCAGTCCACAGAAGTCGTGAAGATCATTAGGATCACATTTCCACTCATTTTGATCAGGGTGCGTTTCTGGCCTCAAGTCTCTCAAATGGTTGCTATTTTTTTGTCCTCAGTCTCCTATTTCTTATTGTTAAATCATCAATACTTACCTAAGCTGGTGATTAATTTTCAGACAGATGACAGTGACTTTGTTTCTAATGTTTTTAATACTTTTTTTTTCTTTTAAATAATTTAGGTTGGAGTATAATGTCTATTTCTTTTGAGTTTGCTTAGCCTACTTCATACAGTCAGCCCAAGGTCTACTTATATCTGGATATTCGAAAATTGTTCAATCACAAAGTAATCTTAAAGTATTCAAATAATGTCTAAAACATAACACCATCACTATCCTAGCAATCAAGGTAACTGACATGTAGTCTGTTAGAAGATAAGAAGAAAATATTAGTCTTTTTTTCTACAGTGGACCTAAGTATCCGCTTTTTATCGTGTATGTATAATTTTGAGCCAGTAAATTTGATCCAAATTTCCTTTTCTTTCTTTTTTTTTTTTGCGTGTAATGAGAGCATTTGAACTTCTGACTGAAATTTGAAACGAAACAAAACTCAAAAGTTTCCAAAAGTTTTGGTGCCACACGCGTAACGGCGCCTTTTTAACATCCATCCTGTGAAGAACTTGGCTGCCCACGGTGCAAAGACTACAATAAAAAAACTTCTCCGCCTCCTGCAGGAGTTTTGCTTCTCATCGCAGCCTCAGATGCTTATGGTATAGTCGGCGTAAACAGTGTTCCTAAAAATAAGCCGGCTAGACAGCTGCTCCCCTGTGGTGGCATGTCCTCTTTTTTTTTTTTTTTTCCTGCCAATCTCTTCTCACTTATGTTTGTTTGTTTGTTTGTTTTTTCTCCGCTCAGCGACTGAGAAGCGGAGGCCTGAAAGAGGCTGGCAGGGGGGCGCGGAGGGGGGCATCAATCTGGATCCTTCCTTCTCGCCCCCTGTGAAGTTCCCTGCAGTGCAGATGCCTGCAGCAGCCATCGACCAGGACACCGACTTCACTTCAAAACTGTGCCAAGACGGGAAATGAGACTAGAAGTGTGTATATGGGATGCTTGCGTTTTGGACGACTAATGCCGCCATTCTGGTCGCCGGAGCTGCATAGGGATTTTTTTTTTTTTACTCATTTAACGTTAAAGAGTCAGCGCAACTGAGGCACTTCTATAGCAACATGTGCTCAAACACTAATTATGAGACAGTTTTATTTCAGTGCACGGATGTGTAGCCTAACCATTCCACGACACGTCTTGGTGTTCAAGTTGTGCGCCCGCTTCTATCTGATCTTCTTATTACATGAATAAATTCTGTTGCTTGCAAGGCACTCTGGTTTTTTTAATTATTAATGCTCACCCATCCACCTCTAGGCTGTGTGCAACGTTCAAGAGTCGTGCCTCATCCAGACTTTCTTGTAGTGTTTAGATATTTAGAGGTTTGTTTTTGTTTTCAACTTTGACTATTATTTCTGTCACTTCTGCGCAGCATCGTTTGTGCAAGACCTTGCAAATTGTTCAAACTCCTTAAAATTTCTTCATTTTCCATAAATTTTACTTTCAAAGAACATTTTGTGTGACGCCCTTACATAATGTAGCTCATACCGGTGGTGTTTTCTGATATGGGCAACTGCCCAGGGCAGCATCTTGTTGGGGATAGGAGGGGGGGGGGGGGTTCTTATTTCCTTCTCGGTTTCGTGTTTCCACCCATCTGTGTTCTAGACCAGGAAACTGACAAAGCTACTGCCTTGATATAAGTGGTTACTTTAACTGCTGGAAGACAATCACAGGCTCAGTTAGAATGCAGAATTAGTTGTAACCAAGAGCAAAGTTTCGATGCCTTGTAGTGCTGCGAGTGCTGCTGCTTACGTTTCTGCTGGTTTTATTAGAACTAAGGAACGTGTCGTTTCATCGTCTGAGGCTCAGTTTTCAGAATTGTAAGCTCTAGTGAGAATGCACCTCGGTTAATGAAGGACAGCAAATTGAATGCAAGTCAATAAAAATACAGGGTTCCGACACATTTTCCCAGTAAACGTCCCACACTTTTCTAACCTCTAGAGTTCTCAGTTTTTGAATACACAGTTGTCTGTGTATAGAATCGAAGATTGCGTACAGATTTTAGACATTTCCACATTGTTCAGATGCAAAAGCTGCAAAACCACATACCGCGAGGAAGGCTGGATGAATGAACGGGTGGATGGATGGATGCAACACTGTATGTGCAATGTTTATTTAACTACCAGCACAAAAAAAACCCCGTTATGGTTAGAGTCATGTTCTTTTATAAATTCAAATATTTATCATGTAGACAATAAAACAATAAAAGTTGCTAATATTTGTACATACTTATCTTAAAACTTAAACTGTGTGGGAACCTTGGAAATACGGTCCTAGTTTGAAAAATGTGCTGTCATTTTGTTTTTGTCCACAATTTTTTTTTTTTTTTTTCTACAAAAATACGCCAGTATCAACTTGACAAGTGAAGACGTCGATCCGACGCTGGAAACATCAAGAAACACGAGACAGACAGATTTTTCTTCTTCAAATATATAATCTTAGTTCAGTCATACAGATATATACATTGTATAATAAATAATATTTATAAAAACATAACATTTACGATTATAAAATAAAAAGGGAATTATTCACTTTAAAACATTTGTACAAAACTTTGGATATAGCACGGGGGTAAAGTCAGGATGTCGGATAGTGGGAAGGTACATCCAGGAAGAAGATGACACAAATATGCTAAGCTATGTCACACAGAGAGGACAGCCTGTACAGGGTGGATATAATTTATAAGAAGCATGGAGAACCGTCAAAAAATTAATTTTTTTTTAAATCTTTTCCTGCACAAATGACCTCATTTTCCCTTGGTGATCTCCTAGTTTAACCTTTTGTCACATCCGTTCCTCTGCTGAACTCCTGCGCGCTCCCTCAGCGTTACCACGACGGTGCGGCAGGCATGTTTTTTTGGGGTGAAGCACAGACAAGAATACAGCTTCATAAATCACACCCGTTTGAATTCTTCGGCACGGGAAAAACATGAAGGAATGCTCTGGGAGAGATGTGACGGCCAATCAAAGGCTTTCCCTAATCCTTGGTCTCCGCGTGTCATCACATGTCCTCTTGTTTTTTTTTTTTTTTTTACTGAATCAGATTTATTTTTAGACACAGATCTTTACGATGAACCTGATGAACTGTAATCAAACGCGCTAAAGCTCGACTCAAGTGTGATGCTGCATGGATCCGTGAGCAGTTTAAAGGCCGAACTCGCCCTCGGAAAGTGCAACAAAGATATTATTCATAAGAACTTTGCAGACTTTTTTTTATTGTTTATTTTTGTATTCCCACCTAGAGTTGTTGGAATAGTGCATATGTAAACCCATGTGGGGATGTTGTTGAGAGGAATGCGCATGCGCCCTCCTGCATACCTTCAGTCCCATCCTGATGGCCATAATTCAGAAATGCAGGGCTATAAACCTCACACTGTAGTGTGTGTGTGTGTGTATATATATATATATATATATATATATATATATATATATCTTCCAGAATTCGCAGTTGACTGGTCCAGTGGAAAGGACTCAATCAGCTCAGTAGTTTGCAATAGACAGGACTGTTGCACCGTCAGCGTCTGCCTACTGTTTTCAGTTCAGTAGTTAAAAAAAAGTGACTTTTGGGCTGCAGAAGAGTAACCGATAGGATGCCATGTTAGTTCAGACGTACGTAAAAGCTGGAGAAGTGAGGTGTAAGTTGGGAAGACGGGTGGGTTTTACTGCATTATGTGTTTTCTATACATATGCCACGAACATCGTGTCGGCATAGAGGAGGGAAATAAATAAAGACACGGGGGGGCTGGGGAGGAGAGGGCGCTGAAAGTGGCACAACTGCTTCCCATGAGAGCGGGCGACGTTTTTCAGGTAGTCCGGTGCAGGGGGCTATGAGGACTAAGTTGTTTTGTTGTTTCCGATTTAACCTTTAGCCATTCGTCGCGGAGCCCTGCGAGTGTCGGGTGTCAAAGTAAAAACAGAGGATTAAATGGGTCGAGTTCCTCAGGTCAGGAAGTAAAGTGTGTCAGAAAACACACTAGCAGTTAAAATCTTCAGCTCCACATCACTTCATCAGCTGAAAAGCAGAATAAATGCAACATTCATATTCTAATAAAACAGATCATAAGTTTGCTGAGTGTTTCGGTTTAGACAGGTTCCTAATGTTGGGATCTTGATGTCGGGTTATTGGCACAAGTGTTTCAAAGATTAAAAACTGTAATCATAAAGCGATTCAAAAATGTTTACTGAGTGTGCTGTGTTATCATTTAACTGCCTCGTTATAAGTATTCGTACTGTGCAATGTGCAAAAACTGAGGTGGAGAAATATTTGCTGCCTTTCAGATTCCCTTCAATTTATCACGCTTAAATAACTTGGATCAAACAAATACCAAAATCAGACAAAGTACTTTTACTTTACTCAAAGTATTTGTTTTTAGAGTAAATACTAAAAGTTTTCTTATAATGATTTCATTTATCCAAATTGTTCAAAAATATTTCAATGGTGGGCCTCCATTTCCTGTGTCAACGTTAACAGAAAGCGTAAATGTCTGATACGTCCAAAAATGATTTAATGACTGTACTGTTAATAGCGCTGATGGATGAATATTGCATCTGAATGTTGCAAGATTTAGACAATCTTTTAACTCCAGTTATGCAGCTGGTGTATATAAACACCAGTGTTACTGTAAATCAGTGAGCTAAACTGACCTAAGCTCTGTTTTTATCGTTGCACCTGACCCTGGCTTGGCTCCGTACGTTACATCCTAAGTTTGTGTGTGTGAGTGGGTTATTGACCGGTGTGCAGAATGAGTCTGCGTCTGCAGGGAAGTTGTGCAGGGAGGACACAGGGGGGGGGAGTTAGGGTAGAAGGTCCAGCAGTCAGTTTGCCTTAAAGTACAGGCCTCTCATTTGCATGTGTGTACATCATAGACGCGCACACACTCCTGGCAGCTGACGTAGCAGCACCAGTGGAAGATGCAGTGGCACTTCTCCTTGCGCTTCTCAGTCCGGGTGTTGTGGCCGCGGCCGCAGCATAGGAGGTCACACCCCTCGATGCCGTGGGACGACACGTTGCAGACGCGGTCGCGCGTCCCGAACGACCCCGTCTCCGGGTTGGGCTCGCAGAAGTTGGGCGAGCCCTCGTAGTAAACCAGATCGCGCTCGGTGGGGTGCTTGAAGAAGTTGTACTTCACTCGTAGGGTCTCCACCCAACCCCGTGACTCGCGGTGCTTCTCCACCACCATCTCCGAGGCGCTGTCGTACTTGTCCTTCAGGTAGTCGCCCAGCGTGCGGAAATCCGGCTGCGCCCACCAACAGGTCTTCACCTCGCAGCTTCCAGAAAGGCCGTGACATTTGCAGCGCAGGTGCATGTGGTCGAGGATGGTCTGAGGAACACAGAAGGTGGTTATTAGTTTGGTGGGATTATGTTTTGGATGTCATTGACCGACTGAGACAGTAGCGCACAAAAGCACCTCAGATTTGACCCAGAACTGTTTCTCTCTAAGTCTTTGCCAGATTTCTATGGGACAAGCTAACCTCTATCCAGAGATGTGTCACCCAGCAATCTCAGGATATATACAAAAAAGATATGACCTTGTTGGTCACATCTGCTTACTAAAGATTTTATCTGAAGGCCTGTCGATACATGTCTTTTAGAGTACGTCTCCACCAGTTTTGAGCGTCTTTAGACTTTCCAAGATAGCTCAACATTCATTTTCGACTGTAGGCACAGACTCCCAGTTAGACTGAGTTCTGGGTGTCGACTGGGCCAGTGTACCAGTACATAAATCGCTTTCATGTAAACTATTGTATTATAGATCTAACTTTATGTTCTGAGTGTTTGTCATGTTGGAAGGTGAACCGCCACCTCAGAGGGAAATCTTTTGAAGGATCTACCTGGTTTTCTTCCAGAGTTCTCTCGCATTTAACTCTTTTATTGTACATTTCCCTCCCACTTAGCTTTCTGTGAATATTCTTGAACAGAGAGCAGGCGGATTATTTAACAATGATTTTCTTTTAGGCTTATCCTGCTTGAAGGAAGGGGGGAGGGGCGTCAAAGACTATTTGCTGGGCAAAAATCAAGTCAACATTCTTCTCCTATGTTTGCATAGGACGTAAGACTGTATCGTTTTGTTGGCTGTAAAGTTAGTCAAAGCTAACAAAATGGATATACTGTATAAAAATCTATGTGTTACATTAGATTGTAAGCTTTATAAAATATGTTATTTTTTACGTTTGTGTTAATAACACAACGCTGGGGTGTTTTTATCCAATGTAAAACCTCGAGAACTTCCATACCAGCCCGTTGCCTAGAATCAGCAGGTTTGCGTTGCGGTTTATTGTCTGAAGCTTGCACAGTGCGGCGGTTCTGCGAAAGCAAAACGAGCCACCGGCTGTGTGTTACTGAGGGTTCATGCAGCTGTGAAGCACAGATGCTTTGTGTTGCTGCTAATTCTCTCTGAAGTCAGCGTGCGTGCTTTCCCTCAGGGCACTTTTTTTTTTTTTTTTTTTACCTTTGTTGTTTTGATTTAGTTGTACTTTAATTTAGCAGATATATTTAGCAGCTGAATTCCCCCGGCTCGGGCGGAAAGCAGGTGGCCGCGCACTGGTGGACTGGTGGTGACATCACGATGTGAGCTTGTCATGCTGAGATAAAGTCCCAGGGCCCTCGGGGCTAAATAATGAAGCGTGAGAGCACCAGGTGGAGAGAGCTGGAGGCCTCTGACGGCAGCGCTGCTCAGTTATCTGCTGTGGCCCGTCTAACTGCGCCGGTGTGCTCAGATCAAAGGGTCGCCTTGTTCCCGTGTGGTCCCTCTATTTGCCCCCGAGCGAGCAGCCGAGGGCCCGTTTCCCCCCAGCGGTGACAGCAGCCGGTGATGTTTTAAGTCTGAGTTGATTCCCCTTCCCTTCCACCGTCAACTCGCTCGGGTTATTTGACTGTTGGGGGAATTTCTTTTTTTTTTTTTCTTTTCTTCTTCTTCATTGGGACACCGAGCATGAAAGGCAAGGTGTGGGGCTGACTGTCGTTTAGATGAGTAATTAGCCAGTCATTCAAAGTCAGGAGCTCATTTTCAGTCAGAGTTTCGGAAATGCGCGGGACGAGTCAAACAGCAAATCCCTGCCCATCTCACGAACAGTTTAGTAATCCAGAACCGCGTGTTTACCGCATAAATCACCTTCGCTTTGGAACAAGCAGCTCATTGTTTTAGGTTTCATGGTGGCCTGAACGTATCTTGAAGTTAAATTAAGTAAACTAAGTTAAACTTTTAACAAGTACACTGCCGTGCATTTGCATTTACAAATGGATGCCTTTTGGAGTATAGTCTCCAACAGCAACAACTGGAAATTTACACTTTTGCCCACATCATCTTTGCGAAAAAGTTCAAGTTCAGTGAAATTGGATGCACTGCTGGACGGTGAACCTTTGACCCCGTCTCAAGTATTTTACCGTCTGCAATGGATTTTCCTTCTTGATCACTTCATTGGTGTCTCTGAAGAAGGAAAGGTGTATAGCCAGGAAAATGGTTCCCAGCTGTGACACACTCTTTTTCTATTTGTAAATGATGGGCTCAACAGTTTGGTGTAGTAGGCTACAAATGGCTATGAAGCCTCAAAATATGATTGAATTAAACCAATTCTGCAAAGCCAAGTGGGCTAAATGTCCTCCGCTGTGATCTAAAAGACGCATTGCCAAGTTTATGAACTGAAATGTTTAAAAAAATGAAGGAATTTGTAAAGCAACATAACTTTTCTAAGGCACTGTACACTCACAAGTATTGTTTAAGGTCTACCGAACACAAGTCTATTCGGTACTACTCGTTTACATTTTATTGGGTCATATCCCATCAGCGACTCTTTCTGCACGTTCTTACTGTGCGTCCGGCCTCGTTGTTGTGCCGGTTCATAGCAGAGCGAGCATCCGGTCTGTTCTCTCTGGCGTCTGCAAATTCCCTCGACACCAGCACGCCGAACTCGGCGTCCTCGCTGCAGCCGCCCCACTTCCAGCCCTCGCCCGGCGGCCCCTTGTGGTGTGAGTCGCAGCCGCACATGGTGGACGTGCCCTCGGCGCAGGATCGGGTCACTGCGAAGGCGACACCGGCGGACGCTATGGCGTGGACGAACGCAGACTCTCTCGTAGCTAAAGGAGACAATCGAAGACGGATGGAGTAGGAAAAAAAAAGAAAAGAAAAGAGGAGCGTTAATCTTGGATTTAAACATGGACAAAGCTGCTGCCAACATCTAGACAGATACATTGAAAAGGATCCCTCCAGGCAAAAAAACCCCCAAAAAAACAACAACCTTTTAACACATTTTATCTATGGAAGCAGCAAATTTATGGGCAGGTATTTGTCAAAGGAAAAAAAAAAGAAGAGAAAAACAAGCAGCTCAAAGAAAACTCTCCTTTTTGTATTGATTTTTTTTTTTTTTTTTTTTTTTTAAATTTTTTTTTTAAATTTTTTTTTATATCAGGGGAAAAAAGGATAAA